TGTATGGTCTGCAAAGCATGAAACATTTATTATTTGGCCCTTGACAGAAAAGGTTTGGCGACCCCTGGTCTAGACGATCAAATGCTAGAGTCCCTCAAGACCCACTCCTAGTTCCTTTTCTGCTCTCACTCGGTACTCTCTCCATAGGGAAGGCTTCACCTATCTATCAGCCCATGAACAGATACCTACAAATTAGTAACTCCAATATGGACCACTCCTCTGTACTCCAGACCAGTGTATCCACTGTCTACTTGAATCTCTACTTGGAGGTCTTAAAGGTACCTCCACAGTACACATATCCAAAGTGAATCTTTCCCTTCAAATTTGATGTTCTTCCATTGTTCCACATCTTAGGGAATAGCTCCATCATCCATCCAGTGACTCAAGCCAAAACCTAGTTGTCATCCTTGATACTTTTATCTCCTTTACATCCCTCCTCCCCACCCATATCTCATCCATTACCAAGTCTTGTCAAATTTAGGTCCTCATATTTCTAAAAATTCATCTGAAAGATTCCCCTAGGACCAAAATCTTGAACTAGTTTTGTTCTGGCCCCTACTTGCATCTCCAGCTTCATTTTGTACCAAGCATCCTTTCTCTGTGTTTTAGCCTTTAAATCCCTCCAACAGGCTTTTTTCCTCCTTGCTGTTAGGCCTTTCACACATTGATCTCTGTGCATGGAACACTCCCTCTCTGCTTTAGTTAGAGTAAGTAATAGTAACTGCTACAACCGACTTAAAAATCTCAGTGACGTAACACGATAAAAAAATATTTCTTCCTTTGACAAAATCCTTTGTGGACATTGCTGGTTGGCTGGTGGCCTTCCACGTGACTATTCAGAGACCCAGATCCCTTCTGACTACAGCTCTGTCATCCCATAGGTCCTTAAGAGCCCTTTATTGGATCCTGTGCATCTGGTAGACAGATGGTTGAGCAGGGGGAGGGTGGTAAGAGGTGTAGAGGATCATGAGGAGGGTGTGAGTGGGCTATGCCTGGAAATGGCATTGACCACCTCCACCCAGGTAGCATTGGCTAGAACTGAGTCATCTGACCACATCTGGCCGCCTGGGAGGCAAGAAGATGTGCAGTCTAGCCGTGTGCCCAGAAGGTGGAGGAAATGGTTTTGGTTAATGCAGAGGTTTCCCTGCCACATACTCCACCCCCCCACCCCCACTGCATTCACTAATTACCTCCTACCCATCCTTCAGATCTCTCAGGAGCGCCTCCTCCCAGCTCCCTGACTAGGTCAGATCACCCTAGTGCTCCATGTGCCTCTCTTTATGGCACTAATCACCACTGTAAGTCTACTCTCCTTTATTTTACTGTTTCTTTAATGCTTGTTTCCCACTAGGCAGTGCTCTGTGAGAACAAGAGTTATATCTGTTCTGCTCCGTACAGACCCATTGCTTGGCACATGTAGGCATTCAGTAAATATCTGCTGATTGAATGAACAAAA